ATCTGTCCACATGAAAATGTCACTTTCTTTCAAAGAAGAAAACGTGGATTGCATATAATCAGACAATCATGCGGAAATCAAGTTTCCTAGTAGTTCTAATTGCGGCAAATACATTTTCTTCAGTGAAGCTAGACGACATTTTAAAATTATAAAACTTGTTGCACATTTGTCATGGTATCTAATCTTGAAATATGCGATCGCACCATATGCTTTTGGACTTGCATCAGAAAATATATGCACTTCCAGCTGCTGAATCTCCAGCTTGTCAAAATATGGTTGAGGTATCACAAGCCTGTCAAGCTCAGTTACTTCATTCCACCACTCCTGGAACATAGATTCCAGTTCTGCTGGAATATTTTCATTCCATTTTAAGCCTTTTTCCTAAAAAGAGTCTGCACTATCAATTTAATTCTAACGCTGAATGGTGTAATTAAACCTAATGGATCAAACAACATGCCCCATTTACTTAGAACTATACGTTTTGCTGGTGTCACATATTTAAATTTTGTAAATTGATTCAGATCTATCTTCAAGGTGTCCTTTCATTGTCCCAAATAATCTAATACCTTAACGGTATATTGTTTGATTCGATGGCGTCCGACATCCATTTAGCCTTCCATCTCTGATTAAGATAGCTGAATTCGAAGACCATTGCCGTAAATTCATGTTGCTTCACTCATAGAATTTAGAGTCTCTTGCAAGAGATCCACTTCTTCAACAGTGATGCCCCACTTATTAAGTCATCAACATAAAGGTCTTTCAAAATAGAGCATGCTTCATTGTGTGAATTTTCATATTTCTTTAAATGAAGTCATATAGTTGCTGTCAAAATAAAAGGACTGCATTTCACACCAAAAGGAATACATGTCATTCGTAAAATTCTGATATCGTGACCATTGAAATCAAGTTCAGTTTCCCCATCATTTCTCCATAAAAACTGCAAAAACTTTCGATCCTCCTCTACTATGGGAATCTTTAAAAATGCTCTCTGAATATCAGCACAAAATGCAATTAAGTGCTAACAAAATCTTTAAATAATCCTGAGCAAATCTGGATTGGGACCACTATTTAAACAATCATTCAATGACTGTCCATCTCTAACTTTCGACGACGCATCATACATAATCCTAACTTTCGTACTTTCCTTTGATACGCGTACTACAGCATAATGAGGCATAAAATAACCAATTTTCTTATCACAATCTCCATGAAAGGCAACTTCCTCAATAATACCATCCCTTAACTGCTTATTAATTATTTCTTTATAACGAAAATACAGATGCGGATCATGCCTAAATTTATTATTTAAGCTTATCAAACGTCTTTCCGCAACTTCATAATTACTATTCAATGTGTTACAGCCCTCCTTCCATAATAATTTAGTTTCATACCTCCCATTTTTTAAACGTGGTATTTTTTTCAAACATCTGCACGTGATCACGAAATTTCCTTTTCCTGATTTATTCCTATAGCCTCCAAATCACATTAATTCCGAACTCTTTCAAAATCTCTTTTTTTCTTTACAGAGCTATGGTTTACACAAGTCTTATCATAATTTCTATGATTATCCGTCCCATTTCCTTACCTTGGATTACAAACCCAAACAAACTGTCCGTAATAACTAATCGTTTTCCTAATCTTTATGTTTCTTTCATATAAAATTTCCCAAATGTAATCTGAGCTGATCAGCATGTGTATCTCCTTCGCGTTTCCAATGTCGGCCAATTCTATTCCCTTACTTAGAGCCATGTTTCTGACCCACTTTGAAGAAACTTCTATGTGATCATATGTAATTGCATCAATTACCACTGCTTCTATTCGGAGTTTTTCAGTTCGGTTGATTTTATTCTGCAAATCAAGCTGAACTATATTATACTGCTGTTTACCTCAAAAGCTAAAAACTTTCTGCGCATGCGCCGCGTTGGCACATGCACACAGGCGTTTTACGCGTGCACGTAAGACCTTGACTACTGCGCATATGCGTGTGCGCAAATGCAGAATACGTTTCCGCCTGCGCGTTTAATGTATAACGGACGGTGTAAGCTAAATTATCTAATTATCTATTTCAGTTAATGTTAATGATTGCGTTGTTCCTTAAACCTTTGAATTGGATCCCGCTTATTATTTTTTGCAGACTGTAAGAGCAATTTTATAAAAGTAAACTTGAACTTTCGATATGTCAAATAGAATTTCCGATGCTGGAACTTCCAAAGGATCTACAAAACGAAAGTATGTTTCGATGTCCAACAAACAAAAAGTGGAATTGCTGCAAAAAATGGATAAAGACATGAAGAATGTGACAGAAAGGTTAGTGAAAACGAAAAAATTTCGATTGACAAGTTTAGTCGGTATTCTCGGCCACAGCAATTAAAGAGCCTTGAACAGCGGAACTTTGTAACTGAACAAGAATTATGTCTGTTTATAGAATTAAAGAGAAAGTTATCACATAAAATGAAGCAACTTAAACAACTTACATTGAAAGAAATGTTTAATAAAGTAACAAATAAATATTAAGTTTTTTTTTTTTTTTTTTGTAAATTTTGATACCCTTTAGATCATAATTGTTCTTTATTTCATAAATTACGGTTTCATATTTTTAATTTTAGAATTTCTGCATGCCATCTTACGAGATTTAAACTGATGATCTATAATCCGGAAAAATCGATAATCCGGAATCGCCGAAGTCCCAACGAGTCCGGATTAACGACTTTTGACTGTATTTCAAATGTTTCACATCTGGGTGCTTTCATTCCTAATGAGTCAGCAGTTTTCCTTCTTATAAATGCTCTATTAACACCCTTAAGATTGCTCTTTTTTTATGTGTTTTTATTATAGCACTGAATGTTTGTAATAAAACTGGAGGTGACGCTTCTGCGCTCTCAATTTTGTTTACGAATTCTCTTTTATTTCCTCCGAAGCAATGCAATGCCTGTACCACAGATAAATTATTGTCCGTTACTTTACCATTTGATTCGGCTGCATTATTTGTCAGTTCAACCTTATCGCATATTAAATAATTGTGAGGTTTTTTACATATTTTGCAGAGCTGGTCCTTTTTCCAGCAAAATTTTGATGTATGTCTATGTTTCAGACAAATGTAACATCGCCCCTCTGATTTTAACAAGTTTCTTTTTTCTGTTAATCGTAAAGGACATTTATGTGTTTCATGAGATTTATCCGAACAAAAACTACATATTTCATTTGCTACGGCTGTTTAAGCAGCTGCTGTTGGAATGCGCGCTTTTGAAATGTTTCGTTTTGAGTCTACATAATTTTTCTGATAATTTTGACTTTGATAAACTCTATTACTAAAAGGAATTTCATTTTGCTTAAAGTTTTTTAATCTGATAATAAAGAAGATGCTTCTTTTATTTCTACCTCTTTTCTCAAAAACTCAACTAAGTGCTCTATATCAAATGATTCACGCGATTCGCGCTGTCTATTGTAATACAAATTTAGCTCTTCTGGAATTTTATGTAGTATTACCGGACAAAGTAAACCACCATAAGTGCCTGCTGCAACACCTAAAGACTTTAATGAACGAATTTGAATCTCGGTCGTATCATATATTCTTCGCATTGCTGGAACGTTAGCGCGTGTCTTAACGTAATCAATCAGCAACAGTTTATTCATGTGCGAGCTTATAATCAAATCTAGCCTTCCAAATCTTTCTTTTAACAACTTAATTGAGGAATCGTAACTTTTGTTTGTTAATGAAAATCCCGAAACTGCTGATAAGGCACTACCTCCTAAAAATGTTTTCAGATACGAAAACTTCTCAACCTTACTTAATTGTTATTATGAATAGCTACTTCATAGGAATTCCAGAAATCCAACCAAGAGCTATATCATCATAAAACTTCTCAATACTTAATTTCGGAAGCTTAACTACACTACTTTCGTTTCTTACTTCTTGTTGTTCCAACCTAACATTTTCATTAACCCGAATTTCATTTTGTGAAGCCCCATTAAAAGCATTTTCTATATGCCTATCTAGTTTCGTTTTCCATTAAATACCGCGTTCCTGATATCTTCACTCTCAGCAATTTCATTTTCTAAATCATCTATACCGAATTATCGCTTCTATTTCACTATCTAAACCCTTAAGATTCTTTATATTTTCAATCAACTGGTTTCTTTGATCATAAAGATCATCAAGTTTTTGTTCTTTACTGTAAATTTCACTTAAAGGTTTATTTATTGCATCTTTAAGTTTTGTAAAAAGATTACAAAAAAGCTGCCTAATGCAGTTTCGTTTCTGCTTTAACCTTTGAACTCGTTTCACCATGTTTGCATAAACAACTTCTGTTTTCAAAACTAAATTTCAAATCAATTTACAGCAACTAAATAATAAAATCACCACTATAAATTCAAAATTTCCTATCACATACAAGATCATAACACTTTAAGAACTTAATGTAAAGGGACGTACCTCAATTCCATGCTCGCAAATCAGAAACTTCCAAGACAAAGAAAGGTTCACATTCCATCAGAAAGTTTGCAGTAATCCCAAATCACGTCCGGCATTCACCAACAATATGTGTGGTGTCTTCGTTCTGGTGTGTTGAGTCATTTAATTCACAGTAGTTGTCTTTTGATTATTTATTATTAATATTAACAAACATGATAAAAACAAATTATGGCACAGTGCCGGATCTATACATCTTACCACATCATCTTTACGTTCTGTTCTAACTATATTCCCTTCCCCCATCGCGGGAAAAGCGAACATCAGTTTTATCTCATTAGGGAATTTTAGTTGGAACACTGATAGTTATAATTACAAGATAAATCTCTTCTAATAAATCAATTACAAACTAGAATTTTTATTGTGTTTGTTATTAATTTATCAAACCAGTTTTTGTTTATAATGTTATGTAGAAAATGGTAGAGGAACTAAAAGCTGAAAAGGCAAAGAGAGCTGAAGAAATGAGGAAGAAGCAAGTTCAAGAAAGAAATAAGTAAGATTTATTTTTTATTGGTACATATTATTGCATTATTTTCATGAAACTTTTTGTGTGATCAAATACTACTTGTATATTCATTGCAAAACGTATCATCAATAGTTTAATATTTTAATTAATACTGTTTATCTGCTAACTAGGTAGACTGATAAGTATACTTCTTTAATTAATGATTTTTACATAGTTATCTGGAATTGACATTTTTCAGGGAAAAAATTGGATGTAAATATTTTCCCTGATATCAGGGAAAAAAGAGAATAAAGGGAAAAGAAAGAGAATAAAAGAAGAAAGAAAAAGTAAATAAAGGAAAAAAATCAGTTTATAGAAAATATCTTAGAACAATTTATTTGTCTGTATATATATTATGGATCATATGTATTAGGACAGTCTTGGCTAGTACAAAAATTCCCTCATTCATCTAGCAGTGCACTCTAAAATTAATATGAAAGGCCATTGTTACATTCAGAGCCATCATAACAAACATAAAGTAAAATGGAGGGAAACTTCAGCTATATGAGTCTGAAAGAGAAGTAATGAGTTTCTTCAATTGTGTAAAATCTTTAAATGAAATTTTGCAGTGTTAAATATGGCAAGTTCAACTATGATCTTGCCATATTTAACACTATGAAGGGTATGAGCATATTAAGCAAGAATCTTCATCAGTCAAAGTAAGGTTGACTGCTTAGTTTGACAGACAAAAGCCTTAGAAAGTTTCACAGAGTAAGTCATATGTAATTACCAGAAATGTTCATAAAAAAATTCTGTTTTTTTTTTTTTTTTTTTTTTTCTTTTTTTTTTTTTTTTTTTTTTTTTTTTTTTTTTTTTTTTTTACATTATTGCCATACCAGTTTTTTGATTTGCAAAATTTGGACTTGATGAAAAAGCAGCTGTAGATAAGCCATACATAAATAATTTAACATGATATAATGTTAGAACCTAAAATGTTAAACGGTGATAAAATGCAAAAATGAAATCCAGCTTTGTATTATGTGGAATGATGACACCTGTTTAAAATTCTGATGGACATGTTTGATTGTGGAGAGTTCCAGCTGAACAGCATTTACGAGAGTGTATTTTTTCTCAGGTTGGGAGGTGGGAACATTACAATATGGTCTTATTTCTCACAGTTTGACTCTGGGCTCCTTATTGATATGAAGGGAGCTATGAAAACAGATGCCTATCTTAATATTTAAGATAATTCAACACTATTCTTGCTGTCACAACAATTTAGCGAGGTATCCTTCTTGTTTCAGTATTCTGTGGCTCCAACCTGTAAGCACGTGTTATTAATAATTTAATAAAATTATTTTAAATAAAATAAATTTTTGCTATATTTCAATTGCTTATAGAACCTAATTTGATACCTTCCTTTCAGATCACTAGAAAATTATAAAGAAACAGAATGGTCCTCTATGTCACAGTTTGAAGAGCATTTCAATGAAATTGAAAGTTCGTTAGATAATACATTTGGTAATGATTCTAATGATGGTATGTTCTTAACTTTGGAAGTAAACTTTTTTGTTTGCTTGTTTATGTATTTATAACCATATAGGTTTTTCTGGCCATATATCAAATATAAACTAATATTTTAAAATTGTGAATGTCATCTGTTGTTTGATGATAAACATCTGATTAAATAATAGCCCTCAAATCATCTGTTATTTGATCTGAAATTTACTGGCACATTAGTCACTATTTTTTGTTAGATTCGTGGAAAGTAATCATTTGAATAGTATAAATGTTAAATTATCAGAGTTTGTGGGTTTCAAATGAGGAATATGTTTATGTAATTCTTTTTCCACAGCTAACTACTCCTGAAGAAAGACAGATATTTGTTTCATAGTTTCATCCTTTAAATTAACAGCTTCAAAGTTGTGACAAATAACTACAGTCAAAAGTCGTTAATTCGGACACCCATAATCCGGAATGATCTATAATCCGGACCTCAAAGCTACAAACTTTCTGCGCATGCATCGCGTTCACGCATGCGCAGCGCGTAAGACCCTTACGGCTGCGAATATGTTTGTGCGCATGCGCGCTTAAATTTTAACGGAGTTATACGCTAAGCTAAAGTTATCTAATTCAGTTAATGTTGCCGATTGCGTTGTTCCTTAATCTTCGAATTGGATCCGGCTTATTATTTTTTGCAGACTGTTAGAGCAATTTTATAAAAGTAAGCTTGAACTTTCGATTATGTCAAATACAATTTCCGATATATATTTACTACAAAGCGAAAGTATGTTTTGAAATCCGAAATCTGTTTATCAATTTCATGCTGCTCTGCGGCAGAGGAGGAGCAGAAACGTCATTATTAGATTATGATAGATTAGAAAGATTATGTCAAATAGAATTTCCGATATATATTTACTAATATGTAATTTGTATCTACAAAGCGAAAGTATGTTTTGAGATCCGAAATCTGTTTATCAATTTCACGCGGCGGATTGGAAGTTGATCTGTCAGCACTATCCTTATCTTCAGGGCAGATGTTTTTATTTTATTTGGTTTATAATTCCATACTAAGTGTAGTATTTCATTCTGTCTTTGATATGATTTAAATCAAGTTCCTCGTCATTATAATTCGCTTCCGATAGTGAAGAAAGTGAGCCAGAGGTTATTGAAAACGAAAACATTTCGATTGACAAATTAGTCGGTATTCTCAACACAGCAATTATAGGACTTGAACAGCGGAACTTTGTAACTAAACAAGAAATTATGTCTGTTTAATAGAATTAAAAGAGAAGTATTATCACATGAAACGAAGCAACTTACATTGAAGGAAATGTTTAATAAAGTAAACAAATAAATATTAAGCTTTTTCTTTTTGTAAATTTTGATACCCTTTAGATCATAATTGTTCTTTATTTCATAAATTACGGTTTCATATTTTTAATTTTGTAATTTCTGCATGCCATCTTACCAGATTTAAACTGATGATCTATAATCCGGAAAAATCGATAATCCGGAATCGCCGAAGTCCCGACGAGTCCGGATTAACGACTTTTGACTGTATTTTTACTGTCTAACTTGTTATAAAATTAGATTTATTTTATCACTTAAAGCTTTGAAGACTTGTATTTATAGTAAATGATACAGTATATTTGTTAGTGTATATGGTATAGTACATTCATGGTAAGTGTTACTAGTATATGTGTAGTAAGTATTTATAGTAGTACTCATTTTCATATTCTCAGTAACTTGCTACAAATACTTCTCACACATATTTGTAGAAAGTTATTGAGAATACCAAAATGATCCTTCTTGGTTGTGATGTTATGTGCTTTTCTCCTTTTTGCTTTCCATAAAGCAGCAGTCAACATAAAGTACTCTTTCTTCAACTAATTAAGTTTTTTATGTAATGTTTTTACTGTCTGCAGCATTAGTAATTTTGGTACTATTCGGTTTTGAGGGCCGTAAAAAATCACCAAACTATTGTTGATGCCAGTGCTGCCAAAAATAATTGCGGCAATCCTAATGCAAGAAAGGAAGTATAATAGTAAATAACTATCTAAAATTGATGTTTTAATTTAGATGAAGGTTTAATTTCATATAATACATTTTTATTATTATTATAATTTATATAAAAAAGGCTAAACATGGCTGAATAGAAGCATACGATTAAATAACTATTTCAGATCATTATTATAATTTATATAAAAATTGCTAAACATAACTGAATAGATGCCTGCATCTCTATTTCGCTACCGAGAACGCTAAAGCATAATTTCATCTCGTTGGTTGTTCAAACATAATTTTCTATAATGAATGATGCCTTTTCTTTGAAAAAATTCTTGGTAAAGTGCAGAATCGCCCACTTATTTGTTTGCCGCTTTTTACAAGGGTAAAAACAATTGGATTTTTGTCAATTTTCTTTTACTTTTTAAGTGAAAATAGTTCGATGTGTACATAGATAAAGTCAAGAATGTGCACAGTGCCATTTTTGTGCAATTCTTTTTTTTATATATATATTTAATATATAAGTGAAAATAGGTTGATGTGTACATCGATACCGAAATTGTGCAATTCTTAAAAAATGCATCAAGCAGTGGATGATTCTGCTCTTTACCCAAAATTCTATTGCAGTCTTTTCATCATGGGCAATTCCCAAATTGTTAAATTCATAGGATATCAAAAAAATATTTAAAATTTAAACTAGTTTTTCAATGGCGTCTTAAATATAGAACTATATAAACTATGAAATCAGCGCGGACGCTAGATTTGGCGCTGTCGCACACATTTTCGCTGCAATTTTTTTTTGCGGTCCTCAAAGCGGAATAGTACCATCATTTTTTATGGCAAAAGAAAAAAAGAATTGCCTTGTTGCTTTCTTATATCCAAAGAATTATCTAGATAAGAAGCTGTGAAAAAATCTTTCTGTGACAATAATAGTGCTGTTTGTGATAGAGTTAAGCTTATGTGAACTTAAGGAGAAGGTTTTGCATTCTGTAAAAGGACGGTAGACAATAAGCTATGATGATTTGCATATCGATAGCTAAGCATCTGTTGACTATTTTTGTAACAAACTTTCATAGCTGATAGAATTATTTAAAGATTTCGAGAACACTCTCAAATTTTGGTTCAAGCATAGATATGAACAAAAAGAGTACCCTCACAAAATCATAAAGGATATCTATAACTTCATGCTTTTAATTAGACTAATTTTTCATATCAGTTTAACAATAATAAAAATATAATTTTATAGGCTGATTATGCATATAATATTTAACTTGAAAGAAACTAGACATTTATTCTTTTTATGGAATATGTTAAGTATTTTGAAACATGTTTTCATTTGGATTGAGTTATAATTATTTATGATATGAATATAATAAATACATGGACTTTATCACAGCATGGTTTTTATGTATGGTACATAATTAGATATCAAATAAAATTTTAATTAAGTCTGAATTTATAATTGGGTAGAAGCAGTCATTAAAATTTGGAACATAATGGCATGATAAAAGGCATAACTATGATACATTTTTCATTAACTTGAAATTTCCAGTAGGGAAGAGCAATCTGATTACAGCTAAGTTACTATTTTTGCTCCATCATGAAGTGATTATGTGAACCCTCACTTAGATGACTACCCACAGTTCCAGAAAATTTATGTCTTCTGTTAAGGTAATCATCTTGGAGAAAACAAGTATTGGTGATTGATGTTACCAATCTGCGTAATGATTTAATGTATTCTAAGTTTTTCGAGTGTATTGAAGAAAAATATGAAATATAAAAGCAGTATATCTGAATTGCAATATTTATTTTTAGCTTTTTATATTCTTAATGACCTTTTCCTGTAATTTACATTGAATTATGTTTGTCTTGGATTTATTGTGTAATTTATTCCTTACATATAATTATTATTACGGCTTCAGAATATTTTAAAATTTTTACTTTGTGAATATTATATTTTTGGATTTGGGAATTATTATCACACGTAGCTTTATGACAAAGAGGTCTTTTAGTATGCCTTTGGGTTCTAATGTGAAACTTTTGTTTTCTGAGCTGACTTGTGCTTCCCCCCTTTTTTTATTTATTTTTTACTAGATGAAAAATATCATTTGGAAAATTGTATAACTTTTTATATTCGTTGTCTGTATAGTATTCTAAATTTATTAAAGATTAATTTAGATGTCAGACAACAAAAATCAGTGTTATATTTGCAAATTTTCACAGGACTAGTTTTGATGGTTTTACCGAACCTTCATCTTCAGCTGCCAAAGTGCAGATGAACGAGATAAGATATAGTGATAAGATAAGAATGGCTGGACTAATGTTGCCAGTAGCTTAAGAGCTACTGGCAACATCTAATGATAAAACAAGAAAACTAAAACATAATTTCCTTAAAAGCTGAAGGTAAAGATAGATTGGAATTAGGGTCATTAACTAGAATAGAGAGATTTTTTTGTTTTTAATGTGAAACGCCTGTACAATGTTGGGCAACTGAGGACATGTGTGTTTCTTTTTTTCCTAACATATGCCTCCTGTTCTTTAACAGAAAATTTTAAGTCTTTCCTAGTTTGACCAATGTAAATTAAACCACATTGGCAAGGCATCGTTTTAATACCCCAGGAATTCATATCTGGAATGGAATCCTTAAGTATTGAACTCGGAATTTTATTGATAGGAGAATAAACAACCCGAAAGTTAAATTTCTGTAAAATACGGGCAATTTTATAATTGATGGAAATAAAGGAATGACAACAGAATTCTTATAATCTCATAAAACAAGAGTATGCCTTTTGGTGTGGTGAGGTGAGAATTGTTTAACTGCTTGGTTAATAATGTTGGGTGAAAAGCTTCTGCCAATAACTACTGCTTTTAAATAATTTAGTTTTTGATCAAAAGCCAATATGTAGGGAAAAAACTTGAAGTGCATGGTAAACAAAGGAATAAAATGAAGTTAACTTTTGTTTAATTGGATTACATGATTTGAGGTGTGGTGAAAGGCAAACCGATAAAGGTTTACGGTAAACAGTAATACT